ACAGGTCAAAAGACATCACTTACTCAAGAAACTGAACTTCTGGAATCCCTGCTTCAAGAAGTAGAACATCAGGTGCTTATGAAAAGAGCTGAAATATTGTGTTACACAGATCCCTCCCTCCTCAGTCAGCCTTCCTTACTTAATTTGTTTTTAAACTGTCAATTGATGCATATTTTTTGAGGGTATCTTTTCATTTAAGTCATCTTAGGTCACGCAATTTCTTCTTTAAAAAGTTGCTTGAAAAACTAGTACAGGGATTAATAGCAGTATCCTAGAAAACTACACAGTTGCACGTTTGGTCAATGTAACATTGCAAATCCTTTCTGTCGTAGTTTGAACTTGAAGCATTTAGGTGGTGTGGGTCTTTTAGTCTGTTAGATTCTGTTAGTTCTGCCGCTGTCAAGTGCGTATGAATAGTGGTGGCTATAAATTGAGAATAAACAAAAGTGTTTTGTTTCTCTGCTTTTGAGGAAAATTGAACTGGTTCTAGCTGTTTATTTCTGTCCACCTGTCTTTCCAAGAAGATATTTTATGTATTTATTTATTTATATACATAATATATATATTTTTTGTCTGTTTGTTGAGAGCTCTCTGTGAAGTTGCATATATTGCATCCCAAATGAGGATGTTTTAAATCCCGAACAGCAGTGAGTATGCAGCTCTACAGGTCAGCTTCTCCTTTTCAGAATAAAGCCCCATTAAAATATTAATAAATCAGTGTTAGTGAAACGTGACCTCTCCTCCCTGCAAATAGGAGGAAAAGCATGCTAACTGAAAAAAAAATTATTTGAAGAGCTCATAGCAACAATGTGACTTTAAAAAATGTACATATTAGTCTTAATGTATTAATATCACAGGCGCTTTTATTGCTGTGTTGTGATGCATTTGGCAGATTATCCTAATGTCTGATTAAGTGTCATTTCCAGATCAATCTGGTTTTTATTGCCCAAACACCATAATAGATGTGACTTGGTATTAATCAGACATCTATATAAATTAGTTCAACCTAAGTGAAGTACGTGATAGTTGCTGCAACTTTCACTGTAGGGTTTCGAAGCCTTAAACATTCAGAACATCCCGACTGGGTTGCATAGGCCCTAGGAGTGAGCCAGAGTTAGAATATCCATTTCAATTTCCTAACAGAAATTTTAGAACACGTGACCATCGGCTGTTGTAGGCAAATTCTTCATCTTGGGAGTTGCCAGAACCCAAACAAATGAAAAACCCCAAAGAACCCAGAACGTTCCAAGCTGCATTTTACATTGCACTGTGGGTAATCTTTCTGAAGCTGTAACAGACATGCAATTTATTTTTTAAAACCAGAAGTGGTCAAAACCTATGGTTTCTACTAATGTTCTTCCTTCTTGTTTTTTCCCCTAGTTACGATCGTGCAGTAAGAGCGAGTTGATCTCCAAAAGTTCGGAGATCCTGATGATGTTCCAGCAGGTTCATCGGAAGCCTATGGCCTCATTTGTCACCACTCCTGTCCCCCCAGACTTCACAAGGTCAGCACTGCAAATACTTTGCTTAAACTTGAAAGTCATCTCGCAAAGGTTTGTTTTGCTTGTTAAAAAATCCGTAGAGTAAATTAGAGGAGAATATTCATTTTGCTGTACCGCTGTATGGAGGAGGACATGCCTAATCTGGAAGGTAAGCGTATTATGTACCTCAGCCTTTTGTAAAGCCATGATAGGAGAGTGCCACTGTATTTTAAGAGGAGAATTTGAGAGAGTAAATGATAGGCGGCTGGTGGAGAGGTTGCCTGATGCTCACCTTCTCCACAATATGAGCTGTGGCATTGGTAATCCGGGGAGTAAAGTGATTTTGTCCGTTTCTGTGTTAAACCAGGTATCTCTGACTGAATTTGGGTCCAGGCATATACACTGAAAATTCTTAACTGCTTAATTACTCCTGTTAGTAACCTGTGCCGCAAGCAGGCTTTTCTGTTCTGGCAGGGCTTATTTTATGTCTGTAGTCCCTGCTGGGGAGTCACAGCAGTGGCTTGCAGCAACAGTTTCTTTTCTCTTTTACGCTTAGTTTACCGATTTGTCCTTTTCCTATTCTTCTTGGGTCCGTGAGTATATAATTGCAAGGCTCCCATGAGGTGCTTCTGCACAACACCTTAATTCACAAGATATAGCCACTTCATGGCACAATTCTTCATAAAGTGCTGCTGGTGCTGGGTTCTCAGGAATTCTGTTGAGAATTTAGGCTTGCTGGCTGAAAAATGTCTCGGAGAGCTCAGAAAGGGAATCGCCTGAAACAGGGAAGCGCCTGTGTCAGGTCTTTTGTCATAACAGCTCGGTATTATTTGGACAGAAATGTGCGTTCCCTGGTCTGAGTGGCTTTGCTGTCTCCCCCCTTTGTGTAAATCCTCTTTTTTTGTACTGTATTTAACTGCATGTTGTTTGAACATAATTCTTTGCACTGGAAGCCTGACCGAGTGTTGCACTTGCTGGCTGGAGGTGGTTTGAGGATTTTGCTGTACACTTTCCCAGGCAGCATAGCAACTCCGTGGCACTGCTCTCCATCACTCAGTCCAGACTTTGGCAGAGCTCTCACAAAGCCATTCTTCCTTGTCTGTCCCTCTGTGGAAGGAATTCCGTACGCAGAAAGCAGAATGTGCTGGGCTCTTCGAAGCTCTTCAGAGCTCTTTGAAGAGCTTCAGGCAAGACAGCTTCTCTGCAGTAGTGACTGTGGTGGTGGCATTATAAGGAAGATGCTTTTTTGAAGGTTCCTTTTTTATTCACTTGTTTATTTGTAAGTGTGAGGGCATGCTGGCTGTTCTTGTGGGAGGGAAAGGTTGTGTTCCTTTTTCCACTGCTCTACACAGGTCTTGCACTGAGTGACGTGTGCTGCGGAGAGCTGACAGTGGAAGGTCTGCAGCGTACTAGCAGTTGTGGTCTTGCTGCCCATCCTTCCTCCCCCTGCATCATCCCTTTTTCCCTATTTTCTTTGAACTAAAGAGGGTCTGCTCTTGCAGCAGGTAATGCCGTTTTCCATTTTAGATGTTTTTTCTCAAATGCATTACAGTGGTCTGTGACACGTAATTTCTGATGAGTGCCATTTGACCATGTAATTCTTTGCTATTGCTATAGCAGGTGCCAAACACATGTGCAGTAATCGGATGGCACTTAAGAGATTAGTTAAGACTGCCAGGACTCACAGTCCTGCAAACCACAGCTGTGGTGCTGTTTTTCCATGGAAGCCTTGCTGTGCCTGCTTCTAAATTTATTTGCAATATGTATTTTAAGCAAAATCCCCTGTGCAAAAGCCTTGTCAACACTCGTGGGCCTTGCTGCGTCGCCCTGGCTTTTGTGCACGCTGGCAGCGGTGCTCCCAATGACTGTGGCTGGGCAGGTGCCAGGGACTTGGGCACAACCACTGCCCGGCGGCTCCTGACCAGCCTTTCTGTGCTGCGTGTGAAGGACGCCATGGCCTTGGAATGGTGGTTGGAGTTTTGATCAAAAAGATGCATTTCCTTGAGCAGGGCTTCACTGCTGCGTGGCTTTTCAGAGACAGCAGCCCAGCGCCCACAGGGTCCATCCCAGTCTTGGCTGTGTCCATGAAGTTCTCAGGCTGTCCATGGTTTGCAGTGCCAGGACTGAGACCTGGAATTCGTCGACTCTGCTTGAATTGTAGAGGGCTGCAACAGAAGGAAAGAGAGCAGAGCTGAAACCTGCTGATCTGCAGAGACCCTCAGGCATCCCTTCCAGCCCATGCCAGCCCCAACCATCCCTTTCCCTGGTCAGGAGGCGCAGGCGGACAAATGGATCACCTGGAAGCTGCTGCTCAGGATTGCAACACATGCCCCCAAGATGTTCCCTGGAGCAGGATAGGGCATGGCAGCACGCTGCCCAGGATCTGTGCCCTGCCCCCAGCCCCATCACACACGGCACTGCCCCTACTCACCGCTGTAAATACCCTGCAGCGTGTCTTTGCTGCTGTTCTCCAGGTGCTTCCCGGCCAGTCCTGTGCAGAGAGCTCGGTCAGACCTGCTGCTGCCCAGCATGCTCCCGGCAGCATGGCCCCAGCTCTGCCAGTTTGGCTGCACCCCTTTGTCCCCTCAGCAGGGTGACCCCAGGGAAAGACAGGACCCGAGGGGAGGTGGCACTGAGCAAGGTGCCACCGAGCCCTGCTGCCAGGGCAGGGGTAGGAGGGGGAAGCACAGAGCCCCTGGCTGCACAGGCCCTGTACAGGGCAGCTGGGGCTCTGGCAGCCACAGGGCTGCTCCTCGCTGCCAGTGCAGCAGATGGGACTGGGGCCAGGCTGCCATAAGGGGGACTCCAGGGACTGCGGCTCACCGATGAACCTCACGGCTGCCATTCGCACGGTGATCTGAGCGTGCTGCAGATAAGGCATGCTTTGACGCACATATTCTTCAGCCCTGCTCCGGTCGTGCTCCAGCTGGAGAGAGCAAAAGGGGTGCAGGGATGATACAGACCCTCCCCAGTCACCCGGGCATATCCCTCCTCCTGGCACCCCACACCCCTGCCTTGCTCCTCAGTCCATTTGCATCTCCCAGGCAGAGTGGGATCAGGAGGTCCTGAGAGCCCTCTGTGCCACTGCCAGATGGCTCCTCTTCAACGTCCTGAGGGTGGGGAGGCAAGAGGGGCACCCGTGTCCAGCCTGGGACTTGTCCTCACCAGGCACTCCACAGTTCTCTCTCTCTCCAGTACCCGCACGCGGTGACCAAGCCGTTTCCATTTAAGCGCCTTCGCAGCTACACAGAGGACTTCGTAAGATACCTGCAGAGAGCGACAAGGACTGGGGAGATTGTGGAGAAGGCTTGGGGCCCAAAGCCCTGGCCCCTGCAGGGGTCAGCTGTGAAGCCTCTGGGGACCCTGGTATTCGTGGACTGCTGCTGAGCCCTGCTGGACACATAGGGCATGGGTGGGAAATGTCCCTGCCACCTTCTCCTGCCCTCCCTGCTGCCCAGGCAACCCCCGCGGGCTCAGCATGCCCTTCCCCACACCACTGCTGAGGCTTGCAATCTGTACCTTGGCCACACTCTCAGTCTCATCACTCATGTGCAACACGAGTGGGACCAGGCTCTGCCGCACCTTCTTCCGCATCTGCCGCTGGTGCTTCCAATCCGCCATCTGTATTACTTCTTTGAATAGGCAGATGGAGAGCTCTCGCACCTGGCTGGACACCTGGTGAGGAGGAGGAGGACAGAAGGGCGTCAGTAGCAGCAGCTCCCTGAGCAAGGGCGTCAGCGTGGCTGAGGGGAGGGGTTTCAGGTCTCCCAGAGCCATCAGCAAGTCAGGGAGAAGCTGAGCTGGGCTGCAGAGCCCAGAAGGCATCCCCGTGAGAGCGCAGGGGCATGAGGAGGGGCACAGCCCCATGCAAGTGCTGCCGCCAGGCTCTGCTAACAGGCACTTGTCCTTGCAAAGGGCCCATCAGTGAGGATCAGGCTTCCATAGCAGCCTCACATCATCAAAGTGTTGCATGAACTCCTCGGCCAGCTGCAGAGCAGTGGAGCTGGCCTTCTTCTTCCGATGACCCATCACATTTCTGAAAATGAGCAGGGCCTTCATCCTGGTGTCTGCATTTGCACTCTGCAGGGCCTCCCTCAATTCTGGCAGCAGGACCAGTATTTTCTTTGCCTGTACAAAGCACAGAATTCCTTGTATGTGAAGTGGCGAAGGACCACCCAGGCCAAAATGCTGTGGCCATTAAGCACCAGACTCCTGCCTGGCTGACTGGGCAGTGGCACAGGAATCCCTGCAGCAGCCTCCTGGCAGGCCATCCCCATGGTGCACTGAGGGGATCGGGCCCTGTGACGGGATTTTGAGGGCATTTGGAGCCGTGACCCCAGCTCCCGATTCCCAGCCCTGGTCAAGCCGCCGCGTTACCCACTGCCCAGCCCCAGGAGGCCAACACGGCTTCCCTTGCCTATGCCCTGCTCACCGTGTCAGGTGACTGTGACAACGTGATGAGGCCTGTGAGCGTCAGCGAGAACAGCACCACATTTTGACACCACGGGAACTTCTCCCTGTTGTACACCCCAGCGAATTCCTCTGGTGTCACATCGCTGCAGGCCAGGAGCTGAAACAAAGATGGCAGTGAGGGACCGGCCGAGCCTGCAGGGCTCCCGGCACTGTGCAGCTCCTGGGTCCCGCTGGCAGCTCAGGACAAGGGCACCAGGGACAGAGAGCCCGTGCTGGGGGACACCAGCCGCACACCACACTCTTGTCTGTGCCGGCTCTGCTGGTGTAAGCAGAGCACTGACAGGGACTTTGTGCACCCGCACCCAAGCAGCGTGGCATGGCCCTGTGTGGCTGGCACAGGGGAACCTGGCGCTGGGCTGGCCCTAACAGGCTGCATCCCTATTTCCCAGAGGAGGTGACTGTTTGGGGGCAGATGGCAGGGAAGAGGGCTGTGCCTGTGTTTCTGGAGAGGCAGGCACAGCCCTGAGTATGAGCAAGGACTGGTCTGGTTACTCACAGCCAAGAGCTGGATGCAGGCCTCCTCCGTGTGGGATATGAATCTCAAACGTGACTGCAGGTGCTGGAGGTTGCTGCTCAGCTCCCTCAAGACCTTCATCAAGATGAGGGGCTGGGACAGCAGCGCTTCCCACATGGCCTGAGCAACTCTGCTGAAAGAGAACACTGTCAGCAGGGCTGCCTTGGCCACCACACGGTGCCTGGGCCAGTCCTGCAGCAGCCAGGCTGTGCTGCAGCCCTGGCCCTTCCTGACCCCTCACTGGGAGTGCCCAGGTCCCAGATGGGGCAGGCAGAAGGGGGCTGAAACTGTTCCCTGTGGGGCAGGGAGGAAACTCGTGGCAGGCCTCGGGTCTGGCTTGGACAGCTTTGGCTACTGCAGGCCTGGCCAACCCATCAGGGCAGGAGAGAGTGATGGGGTACAGGGCGCAGCTCTTCAGGGGTGTCCTGCAGTTTTCTATGTGCCTCCACGTCCCTCTCCCCACATGGAACAAACCCACGAGGGCTGTGGGGGTCAGTACCTGTTACATGCTGGAGTGATATCTATAAGGCTCACAATCATCTCCCTGGGGTTCTGCTGTGCCATGCTTAGAAACAGCAGCTTCAGGCTGCACCAGGCTGATGCTGCGCTGATGTGCTGCAAATTGTTATAGATGCAGCGCGTGATGATCCGCACCTGGAGAGCACACGGGTGATGGTGGTGCTGCCACCAGACTGCAGCCATTTCCTCAGCTGCTGCTGAAACAGCTGCCCTTCCCATCCTACTCTACTGGCATGAAATGGCTTCAAGGTGCCTGAAGCACCTGGGTGAGGGGAGATGGGATGTAGGGAGGAACAGTGCCTGGAAGGACTGGAGGACAGGGCAGCCACAGGCTGCTTACCTCTGTCAGCCAGGAGGCAGGTTCTGTCATGGCCACGTTCAGGATGCTGATCAGCTCCTCCTTGTCACATACACATGGGTCTCTCATGGCCTGTATGGTCCTGAGGATGATGACTGTCTTATCAGCAGGTTGGAGGTATTCCCCAAATGCCTGCAGGAAGGAGGAAGGCAGGGAAGACGTTTTACACTGAGTGTCCTGATAGTGCTGCTCAGCTGGGCAGTGAGAGCAGCTCTGGCGAGAGGACCCACGGGAAAGCTGGCAGCAGGGGCTGGAGTTGCTGTGGGGTAGAGGATGAGAAGAGTGGGCCCCACGGTAAGGGAGGGTTGGGGGCGTGGGCATGGTGTGCTGGCCCTGCAGAGAACCAGGGCTTCTTGCTGGCCACGAAGGCTGGAGCTGCTGCTGGGACCCTGGAGTGCAGCCCTCTGGAGTCCCTGCTCCAAAGCAGCAGCAACCCTCTGACCAGGGACAGGGAGACCATGCCAAGCCTGCTGGTTCTCTATCCCTTTGCTTACACCAGTCTCCTGCTGTTGCCGCAGACAAGAGGCCCAGCAAGGGAGGAGCTCATTACCTTTGCCATGCTCCTCGTGTTGGATAAAGAAAGACAGGAGGGTTTCCCAGCTTCGTTTTTCCTTCCACCCTGGGGATGCTCTGGGTCATCCTCTGGTAACATCATGCCTAAACAGGAGGGGATCATGGAAGAGTCATTAGGACACAGCATTGATTATCATCGGTGACAGCTTTGGCTATGGGGACCATGTAACTGCTGGGTTCTGAGATGCCCTGAGAAGAGTGGGAAGGAGAGCAGCAAAGAGCAGTGCCGGACTTGTGGTGAGCACTTGGCTTCTGCAGCAAAACAATAGCTGGGATGCTGCGGGAAGCAGCTGTGACAGGCAGAGGAGGTGGGGGAAGATGGCAAGCCGTCCTGGGCTATGAGGAGACATCTGTGTGTGGAGGGACGCAGCCCAACGCAGTTTCTCTTACATTTTTGCTGCTGGATGAATCTGAAGAGGTACTGAAGAGCATCCAAAGCCTCCTGCTGGATTGCCCAGATCTTGCTAGTCCAGCAAACAATCAGACGTCCCAGCAGCTGTCCCAGCAAGCGGTCCTTGCTGATGTCATGGTGGGAAGAGCTGTCGTCGTGTTCAAGCAAGCTCCAGACCTGGGCAAGGGAGGCAGGACAGGTAGAAGGGCTGAGGGGCAGCAGCGCAACAAAAGCTCCGAACCTGAGACTGCCCCAGGAAAGGATCCTGGAGGGTCGGAGTTGTGCAGGGCCCTCCCAGAGCAGCGAGCTGGGCAGCCGGGCAGGGAGAGCTGCCAGGCCTGGCCTCCCGCCATGCTCCTTGGGCAGTGCTGACCTGCACAGGACTGGGGGCCAAGATGGCTGCTGGCAGAAAGGGCACTGGGGAGGAAAAAACATGGGAAAAAGAGAAGCCGAGACCCTTGCCCAGGGCAGAGCCGTGCTGAATGCCTCAGGCATCTTGAGCCGCAGGCTGCTGCCCACGGTGGGCAGGGAATGGGAGACAGCCTGGCTGGAGGGTGCCTGCCTCCCTACCTGCACTGAGGAAGAGCTGGCCATCAAATCGGCCAGCTTTGTGATCCTTGCCACGGCCCGTTCACATACAGCTGCGTACTCGATGTCGACGAAGGGCAGCAGCATCTGGAAGGAGAGAAAGTGGTGCTGTGCCCTGGGAGCTGGTGCCCGTGCCAGCAGCAGCAGCAGCAGCACTGCTCAAGTCCTGGCTGGACTCGTGCAGTCCTTGTGGCCCTGAAGGGAGGCAGATGCCACCCCAGGGTAGAGTCTGCTTCTTTCTGTGCCCTCCCCATGAGCACAGGCCTCTGTTCCCTCTCCGTGAAGGCTGGGCTTTTGGGCAGCACCCTCCTGGGGGGCGGTGATCCTGCAATGGGGGAATGGGCGTACGGCTCCCTGAGAAGTCAGGAGTGCCGAACTTCAGAGCTGGGCTCCCTGTGCAGGACAGGCAGGTCCCAGTGGGTCTCTGCCCCGGTCAGACCTGGGCAGAAAAGCAGGAGGGACTGCGAGGCATTGGAAGAAGGGCAGCACCCGCTGCCACTGCTGCAGTGCCTGAGGAGAGGGGTCAGTGCCTCCCGCTGCTTTGGTGCGAGGAAAGCTCTGGGGATGGAGCTGGCCCACAAGTGCCACGGCCAGGCTCCTTCCAACCCTGCTTTCTGCCAGTGCCGCACCTCCAAGATTCTCCGCAGGTCCCTGGAGCCCGGGGAGCTGAGCACCAAGCTCTCCAGCAGGACGTCCATGGCATCCAGGGTCTGCAAGAAGGAAAACTCTGACGTCAGTCTTTCTGCAGTCCCTCTCTCCCCGGTGATGGATCTAACCCCCCACACCATGGGGAGGACACCCCTGCCACCCAAGGGACACCTTGGAGCAGACAAGTTGCAGTGGGCAGAGGAGCCAGTCCAGAGGCACTGGACATGGCAAGGCCCACGAGAAGGAGATGAAGGGACAAGGGTGGGAAAGTAAAGCCGAGACCCTATCGTGCCATGGATCACTGGTTGTGGTTCAGCACTTGCCAGCCAGGGAGCAGCTCTGAGTGCTCCTGGCAGCCCAACAGCGCTTACCTTAAAGTAGAGAAAGATGTCTTTGCCCTGCCTAGCAGTGATGGGGGGAAGCAAGAAGACCGTCCTAAAACAGGACTGCAAAAGGCTTTTCTTCTTGCTCTCCAATAGCATCTCCACTTTGCTAAAAAGAGAGAGAGAGGGGCCTGTCAGACATGGGCGCTGGGAGCGCTGCCTCCGTGCCTTGTGCAGCTGGACACAGACCTCTGGAGCAGAGGTGACCAAGGGGGATGGAGCCCTGGTGTGCGGGGGGCCCTGCCAGGAGGTGCCTCCTCCCTCCTTGACGTGGCCCAGGCCAAAGAATGGTCCTGGCAGGCAAAGCCTCCCGCCTCCTGCTCTTGGGAGCAGCCAAGATGTGGTGGGGACCTGCAGGATCCCTCTGCTCTCACCTGCGCCTCTCCACAAGCCACGAGCAGAGAAAAGACCAGGCCCTCTGAGGGCACCACTGGACTCCGCCTGGATGGGAGATGCCCACTGCCAGGACCAGGGCTATGGGCTCTGCAGAGGTGTCTGCCAAACCAGGAGCTGGGCACGCACCTCATCTGGGCGAGGGTCAGCATGGCTTCCTGCCGCACCGCTGTGTGCAGGTGGCCCATGGGCTCCTCTTCCACCAGCGCCTGCAGAACACAAGCAGGATGGGACCTGGCGGCTGCCGGCACCCAGTGCCAGCAGACCCAGCCCCAGGCAGCAGGGCTGGCAGACACCCTCTGTCCCCAAGCCCAGCTCTGGCCCCCAGCGTGGCCCCGCTGCCAGGGCTGCTCAGCCCTGCAGCTCAGTGTCTGCCTGCGCACGCTGGTCCCTGCCCTCCCCCTGCACGGGCCCTGTGTGTCCTCACAGTGTGCCGGTGCCTGGCAACTTGCCCCCTTCCTCAGGCCGGCCGTGTGTCCCCTCACCTTGATGTTCTCCACCACCTGACACTGCACACAGAACTCCTTTAGTTCCTCTAAGAAGCCCTGGTCCCTGGGAGCTGTGCAGAGGCTAGAGACGGCCTGCAGGAATTTCACCTTCTGAGCCTCCTCCTGGGCAGCCGGGGGGCAGAGACACAAACAGGCAGCGTGAGAAGGGGGGCACGTGGCCAGCGGGACTGGAGCAGTGGGGCTGCAGTGCTGTGCAGGAGACCCGGGGGAGCAGCTCTGCCCAGCCAGCAGCCCCCAGCAGCCTGGCAGCAGAGCCAGTGGCCCCATCAGGAGACACGGGCACTGCTAGCCTGGAAACGGCTGCGGTTACCTTCTCTGAGCTCTGCAGGAAAGTCTGGATAAACCGCATGTGTGCAGCGCGTTCCTCTTCCATCCTTGCCGGACAAAAGGGTAGGGGTGAGGAACGAGTAGGGTTGAAAGAAGTGTCTCGGCACTGCGGGGCTGCTGGGGCAGTGGGGAACAACGTGGGCTGCGCTCAGGGGTCTGCGCCAGTCTCTCGCTCCCGCTCTGTCCCGTCACCGTCCTGCCGGACACTGGCACGAAGGATGTGGCCTGCTGACTTTTATACAGTGCCCTGGGGTGTGACCAAGGGCACATCACAAAGGCACGTCACAAAGGGCACCGTGGTGGGTCATGGAGGGCGCATCACTAAGGGCACCGTGTTTGGCTAACCATCAGCCCCACAAATCTAATGCGTGTTTATGCACAGCAGTAGATTAAACAAAGATTTTTTTTTATTCAGACCTTCAGTAGGCAAAACGGTTTCCATCCGTGTTGGCTTAACCCGTGTTGCCTGATGGAAATCCAAAGTTGCACGTAGCAGGGACTGAGAAGATGAGACTTCCTAGATGAGAGCTCAGAAAGGGAATCGCCTGAAACAGGGAAGCGCCTGTGTCAGGTCTTTTATCGTAACGGCTCGGTATTATTGGAGAGAAATGTGCGTTCCCTGGTCTGAGTGGCTTTGCTGTCTCCCCCCCTTTGTGTAAATCCTCTTTTTTTGTACTGTATTTAACCGCATGTTGTTTGAACATAATTCTTTGCACTGGAAGCCTGACCGAGTGTTGCACTTGCTGGCTGGAGGTGGTTTGAGGATTTTGCTGTACACTTTCCCAGGCAGCATAGCAACTCCGTGGCACTGCTCTCCATCACTCAGTCCAGACTTTGGCAGAGCTCTCACAAAGCCATTCTTCCTTGTCTGTCCCTCTGTGGAAGGAATTCCGTACGCAGAAAGCAGAATGGGAGAACCCTTTGAAGGGAAAGGCGGTGGTGTTTTTTCACTGCTCTACACATTGAGTGACGCTGTGCCACTGCCAGGGCCCAGATGGATCCTCTTCAGCATCCTGAGGGCGGGGAGGCGAGAGGGGCACCCGTGGGTCCAGCCTGAGACTTGTCCCCATCAAGCACTCCCAGGGCTCAGCACGCCCTGTGGTGTGCATACCACAACCGGACTGGGACCTGGTGGCCGCCAGCACACCCAGCACCAGGCGGCTGAGCTCTGCAGAGCTCTTGAAACCGTTTCCTCTGGGCGCCAAGCGTGAGGAGCACCCACGGGAGCCTCACGGCACCCCGCTACCGCTACGAGCGGCTCACGAGCGCCCCCCAGCCGGTGAGCGCATAGGCGAGGCAGCAGCACGGAAATTCCACTTCGCGCGTGCGCAGTGCGGGGCGTCGTTGGGTCCCGCCCGTGCGGCGGCAGTTGGGGTGGGAGGAGTAGCTGAGCTCCTCGGGACCGGGGCACGGGGCGCAGCCGTTCCCCGGCGGCTCTTGAGCAGCCGTTGCTGTTCAGGTCCGGGCAGTGTGGTGAGGAGCGTGGTCGGCGAGGATCTTCTTCCCCGGCGGGGCCGCGGCCATGGACGAGCAGAGCGTAGAGGTGAGCGGTCTGGCCGCTGTTGCGCTCGCGCCGCCTCAGGGAGGCGGGAAGGGCGGCTTGGCGGTAGCGTGGTGTCCTCGGGTGCGCATCCCCGGGCCCATGGGGACGGAGCGCTGCGGCCGCGGCGGCACCTTCCCTTCCGTGGGGAACGGCGAGTGGCGGGGACGGGCCTGCTCGGTGTGGTGCGTGCCGTGCGGCCTGAGCTGTTCACGGGCCGGGGAAGGGCTGGCGGACGTTGCCGCGGCCGCGGAGCCCCTGGCTTGTCCCTCGCCCTTGTGTGAGGGGAGAGGGGCGAGGGGCCCAGCGGTAGGGAGCTGTGGGCGGTCCCGGAGGCGGAACACGGATGGCAGCTCTGCCGCGGGCGGGGATGCGCATCGTGCCGAGTCTTGCTCCAGTGTGCCCGGTGAGCCGGTAGGAAGAAAGCGGGATGTAAAGAGGTGGTATTTCTGAGTGACCCGCGGTTGTTTTACATAGTCCAGGTTAGAAAATGAAGGGGTTGGACGGACACCTGGCGCTGATAGAAGCCACTCTGGCACCCGTGACGGCACAGCCCTCAGTGGTGCTTGTCTGCGACCTGGGCAGTTCGTACACGTTGCTGTTGTCCGTATTAATAAGAGCCAAACCGGGGCAGGATTTAACAAGGCCGTGTGTGATAACTTCCTATAAATGCATGTACTGTGTTTTAATGGTTTGCAGCCATTAAAGAAGACACTAATGTGTGGGAGATAGGTGCTGTGGTGTCTGTAAATTCAAGAAATTCTTCTGTGCTCGTTTATAGTTTCGACTCTGGGGAAAATAAATAGCCCATCAGAAGAATCTCAGAGTTCTGTAGTTGAAGCCAGAAGGGGTCTTACTCCTGTACAATACAGAATGTAAAACTTCTTATCAGTGCAAAATCTTCTCAGTATGGAAAGCAAGCATAGCTTGGTATTTCAAAGCACCTTCCTCATTTTGGGAATGGAAAGAGCCGAGGTGGTGTATGCTAGAACAAAATGCTTCGCTCTTCAAACAGGGATAGTAAAAGATAATTTGTCAAAATACACTTTTATTGCTGGAGAATTATTAAATGGGGTGTGAGAGAGTGTAGACGTTGTGGAGCTAGTGCTCATGGTAGACCTTAAAAAAGGTAAGCCTTATAAAAGTAAAATCAAAAGCCCCATACAGTTCAACCCACCTCATTAGCGTTCTGTATAACAGCTACATGCACTTGCCATGCTTCTGAATTAGTTTAGTGCCAGTACATTGAAACTCGTGTGCTTAGAGTCTGCAGGTGCAGCAGTTTATTCTGGCATCTGTTCAATCCCAGGTGAATGCAAACAGGAATGGTATCTTGGCTCTAGAAAGGCCCACGTCAAAAAAGATGAGCCAAAGAAAGAAACTATGCCTTGAAGAGCAGTGTTGCAAAATGTGGGCTAAGAGCTGGTGTAGGGTAGGAGGAAGTCGGGGGGTGGGGGGGGGTGGGGGGGTGGGCGGCGAGAGCCGCTGTGTTTGACATGGTGTTTTGACTCTAAGATGAGCTATTGGTAGCTGTTTGGAGTGTGGGACTGCGTGTATGGAACCTGGCACTCTGCCTGGGAAATAAATGCAACTCTGATATGCTTGAAGTATATGGCTTAACAGTAGCGATAATCTACCCTCTGCAGAGCATTGCTGAAGTGTTCCGATGTTTTATTTGTATGGAGAAATTGCGTGATGCACGCCTCTGTCCTCATTGCTCCAAGTTGTGCTGTTTCAGTTGCATTCGGGTGAGTTTCCTCATTATGGTTTATTCTTGCAAATGTATGAACTTAAAACTTAGTGATCTGATGAACACGTTCTTGGTTCTTTCTTGCCTGTGTCCCTGGTGCTCCAAGGATTCCTTTTTCCTGCCCTGTGCTCTTCAGTTTCCCTTTCAGGATCCTTTACAACTCCCCGAGTTAAAATGAGGCAGGCTGTGCATTGCATTCAGCAGTGCTAATTATAGGGACTATCTGGATAATTGCTTTAAAGAAGCAGAGGTA